TATTTATTTATTTTATGTATGTATATGGTATATGCATGTATGTGTGGGTGCTTTGTGCATGTTCACATGTGTGCTTAAATGTGTATACCTATGAAGGTCAGAGGTTGAGATTGGGTGTCTTCCTCTGTTGCACTCCATCTTAGATTTGGAGACTAGGTTTCTTATTGAGCCTGGAGATCCCTGAGGGATACTTTTCTCCTCTTCTCCAAGTCTCGTTCTAAGTTATAGACAGATTGCCTCCACTCTTGACCTTTTTTTTTCTTTTAATTTAAAAGAATATTTTGTATTTTACATACTAACCCCAGTTCCCCCTCCTCTTCTCACACCCATGCCTACCCTCCTTCCACATTCCTCATCTACCTCTGAGGTAGTGAGGCCTTCCTTGAGGAGTCAACAAAATCTGGCATATCAAGTTGAGGCAGGACCAAGCCCCCTGCCCCAATCCCCCAATATCAAGGCTGAGCAAAGTATCCCACCAATGGAAATGGGTTCCAAAAAGCCAGTTTATTCACCCAGCATAGGTTCTGGTCCCACTGCCAGGCCTCCCTTCAACAGATCAAGCCACATAATTGTCACCCACATTTAGTAGGTCAGCTGTGGTTTTCTCCATCATGATCTTGACCACCCTGACCTTGTTCATATGAACCCCCCTCTCTCCCTTCAGCTGGACCCCAGGAGCTCAGTAGCATTATTTGTAATAGCCAGAACCTGGAATCAACCTAGATGTCCCTCAACTGAAGAATAGATAAAGAAAATGTGGTGCATTTACACAATGGAGAACGACTCAGTTGTAAAATACAATGACATCTTGAAACTTGCCAGCAAAAAAGAAAAAAGTAAACAAAACCAAAACATCCTAGGTGAGGTAACCTAGACCCTGAAAGACAAACATGGTATGTACTCACTCATATGTGGTATTAGACATAAAGCAAAGGATAATCAGGCTAAAATCCATCAGCTCCAGAGAAGCTAGGTAAAAATGTGGACCCTAAGAGGGACACATATAGAGGGCCCCAGGAAGGGAAAATAGGTAAGATCTCTTGGGTAAACTGGGAGGGGCAGAAAGGAGGGGATGGGAGATGGGAACATGAGGGGTGCAGAACACTCTTGACTTTTCAAATGGGTGCTAGGTTCTGAGCCATCTTCCCAGATCAGTTTGAATTTTTTTCAATTAAAAAAATTGTGAAAGTACCATTTTCACTTCACAGGGTATTTATTATATATCTTAGTATAAAATATGAGCTAACAAGTCCTTCTGTCTAATCTTCTGCCTGCAGAAAGAGAAAAAATAATTCAGAGCCTATTATGGAAATGTAACAGTCATATTACTTGTTTTTAAAAAATTTGACTACATTCCTAGATGACTCTGTGTTCTGGGACAAGTCACTTTTCACTCAATTTCCTTATCTGAGAAATTAATAAAATAGTGTTTGTCTAAAGCATAATCCTGAGAAGATTATTTTAAGCAGAGGGGGAAACACTTCGATGGTGTCTGTTCAATAAGTTCTGGTATTTTGGTCTTCATTTTGCAAATAAATTGACTGAATTTCAGAACACTTAAAGGAATCTTTCAAAGTTGTGTGGCTAATACAATATGAGATAAAATCTAGAATCATGAATGGAATTCATTGTGGGTAGATCTAAAATTTTTAAATTTAAAAAAAATATTTATTTATAATCAGAAAATAATATAAAGATGAAAGAAACTACATTACAGAAATAACAAAAGTCATGTAATTGTGAATATGTAATTGTGACAAATTCTTTATCTACTGTGTTTTATATTATAGATAATTATGACTCATGCTCTGGAGCAATCTTCAATCCCTATATTGTTACACTGCAAATCTTTAAGGGTCATTTTCCTCATGTGCCTATGCCATTTCTATCCTGGTTACCTTACACTGTGGTAAACCAAGAGTGTTTGATAAGGGACACACCCTTAAACAGTCTGACTTTAGATATAATATTCACCAAATATCAGGCAAATGCTAAAATTACTAAAAAATTCACAAAATCCAGTTCTCTGTTTTGACAGATTATTTTCACAAATTTCTGTATGCTATTTAGTACTAAGACTTATAATCTTTCCTATATTATATTAAGACATTTTAAAAGCATATTTAACATTTCTATTTTTCTATCCAAATTACATTTCATACCAAGAAGCTTTTAATACTTCGTTTCTGAAAATGTGCCAAGGAAGTTTAATCATGTAATCATTTAGGGTGATTTAATATTGCTAATGGATTTTATAGATTTCTTCATGGTTTACCGAAATAGTTCATAATCTGAGTTTTAAAACTTTTGTCATAAAGTATTGTGCCTGTTTCTTCAGTGGGTTGCAAATAGAAGTTTAAAAGCCAATGTGCAGTGTCTAAGATGTTGGACAGCTTTGATACCACCATACAAAGTTCCCTGTGGCTTCTGATGGTCATGATTACTTCTAACAGCCTGGTTTTGTCATTGTAGAAGCTAAACCCCCCATACACAGATATTTATAAAATACTTCAAAATAGAATATGGAATTGTTCAAGTGGTCAGACTAGATGGTATTGGATAATATACCTTACAGAAAACATATTAGTGAATGATTTAATATACAGAGGATCCAGGCATCTTCTGACTTCCAAATAGCATTAGTTATTTGAACTATTAGGGAAAACATTTGGAGTACATGGCTATAGAATTATATCCACTTACATAATTATCAGTGAAAGGCAACAGCATACTTGAATAGGATTATATCCACTTACATAATTATCAATGAAAGGCAACATCATACTTGATTATATAAGATCACAAGTTTTAACTTGGGGAATTATCTAGGATTTTCGGGCCTGAGTTATAAAACTTTCAATAGTAGATGAACAATAGTAAAATCCTCAGGTACTCTTGAAGTGTTTGAAATGCATTATATCTTTTCATGAGGTGTACTATTTCCTGTTGTGGTTCAGATCTGAAATAGCCACCAAAGTGTCTCTTGTTATAGGCTTCATCTATAACAGTGTCATCATAGATAGACTGGGATAGTGACTGGATCCTAAGGACTTGAGGACTCAGAACACAAAGAAAACTTGGAATGTGATGAAAACTTTGATGAGGTTTAGTTATATGATCTTGGAATATGTGATCACTGGGGCCTTGACTGTTTACATAGCCTCTGCCTCCTTTTCTTCATCTCTTTTTTTTTTTTTGGGTTTGTGACCACCATGCTTAATCATCCCACTCTGCCATTGGACTATGCCCCACCAAGTGCTCAGTAACAGAGCCAAAGGAACATGGATTGATAATTCTAAAATCATGATCCTTCCACTTTTAAAGGGGTGTTCTCAAGTATTTTGTCACAGTAATGTAACATGACTAACTTATCTGTTTAATTGTATGAAATTCCTCACTAGTTTGTTGTTACAATGGAAAGAAATAACTTACTTCTTAGTGTTAGCTCTTACTAATAATACTGACTTTTCAAAAATGTTTGCTAGTTTTTACTGTGTCTAATAATAGCTAAAATAAGAGTGTGACTGTTGTTTTAAATAACACTCCAGAAAAATACATGAAGGTTTTGTAATTTTCAAGAATTACCTACAGTCTAGCTCAGTACCTAATACAGAATAAGTGGTCAGCAGATACTGTCAACAAACAAACAAAAATTCTCAATTGTATGGATGTGTTTATAAGTGGATTTCTCAGAAAAGAGAATGTGTGATCTGTGTCAGTCTCAAAACATTTCATTGTCTAAGAAATGAAATGCCATTGCTTTGAGTGAATATTTATCACTATGTGAGTAAGCAAGTCGAATGTCTAATGACAGGGGAGGTATGAAGGGTCTCGGTGGGTCTGGGTCCCTGCCATAAGGTTAGACAGTGCCAAGTGTCACCCCCTGGGCTCTCTGTTGAGGAATGTTCCCAACATCTCTTCCTACCTGGAAATTCCCATTTGGGGGTCATCTTCATAAGACTCTGGGGATCACAGGCTGCTTATCTAGCCAAAAATGGAACATTTTGGTTTCATTGGAATACTGAATATTCATGCTGAAAAGAAGCTTGGCCATAATGTACTTCAGATTTAGATCTGTAGCAGCAGATGTTTTATCATCCCTCTCTGTGTACCTGGCTGAACACTGGACAGCAAGTTTTGTGCCTATTAAGTTCTTCTTAACATAATCTGATTACCAACTGATTAAAATTGGCATGCAGAAGGAAACCAGTTTTCCAGTCTCATCACATTCCAATATCCTATCACAACTAGTAAGTTAAGAAGATGCCATTTGATATGTCTGTGTGCTCTAGTGCTTGGGAGTGATATGATATTTTAGGCCATGTGACTTTACTGACATTTAAGTACCAAATATCAAAAATTTTCTGATTATTTTTTCCTCATTCTCTGCAGAATAAAGAAGGAAACCCTTTAAAATAACCATTCCATTTTCTTCAACAGAAATCTACACAGCAGATAAATGGTGATCTTATGCCTGTATAGAGGGCAGAAAAAAGGGTCTATGTTGACCAGAAGAATATGAACATTTTGTGTATGGATGCATGTGAAAAGAAAGCATGTTTAAGACAGTGATGAGTATTGGGCCAGGGGAGAATTGAAAATGAAATGCATTTCCATATTTTAAGCCATTAAATTTAAGAGCACAGAACTAGCTTTCAAGTCGTTAAGCATCACTAACACAGAATGCTGCCTCTCTAGGATGAGAGCACAGGAGACTTGGGCCTTACACTCTTTCAATGAAGTCTATGAAAAATTAGAGAAATTTAAGATGTTTTTCCAGCAAAAGAGTAGAAATCAAATGATCAAATGTACAATTCTGGTACAGGCTAGGTTCCTCCGTCCTCCCCCTTACTGGGATGATGTCTGTGAGCTGGGAGGGAAGACAATCCAAAATACACTACCATCCTTTATTTCATCCTTACCACTCTCATCTTCTCTCTATTATGCACAGGTCCCTCTTTGAAATTAGAAAATTAGACGTAAATTAGAAAACAAGACTGTATTATATGAAAACATATTTATTGGCTGAATAGTAAAACATAGGTTAAGGGGTTTCTAGAATTAGATCTATCCCCCTTGAAATACAAATATCCAATAAGCAAAAAAAAGAAGCAATACTCCCCTACCCCTGGAAGAAAGAATACACTGGCAGCATAAATCATAGGCACTGAGGGGTGTGTTCAAACAACCTGTTCCTTTGATGGTACAGTGAAAGATGCCACAAATGCAACCCCCACCACACACCAAAGCTTTGCTATCTTAATTGATGCATCCTTGATTTACACAAACCCACAGGGAACCTTGACCTTCTTACTGCTGGCGATTTGCATATAAGCTGTCAACAACACTCTTACAACAAAACAGAAACAACTCAGAACATGTAAATAAATAAGAGCTAGAGGAGAATCAAGCAACATGGAAGACACCTGGGACCTCATCTAAAAGCAGGCGCCTCAGCCTTGAAAGACCAAGGTGATTGAAGAAGTGATGGAACCACCCACCAAGCCCCCCCACCCCCTTCAGGGTGAGGAAGGTTAATCAGTCCTTCCACACAAAATACATCCTTTAGATGGGGCTGAAAGAAGTGATTCTGTGGAACTGTGAAGCGCCTTTGGAAATACCCCTGGGATTACTAATCCTCAGTAATAACATAAATAATGTACAAGACTAAACCAGAATCAGAATAACGCAGCCTCTTAAAGTTTTCTTTTCGTAAAGACAACTTCATACGCATTCCGAAAGTGCAAACCTGGATAAAACAAAACATTTACAATGGAAAATTTAGCCCGCCCTCTGTCCCCCACCCTCCAGATAGCCGCTTTTCAGTCGACCTAGCCTGGTCGCATGGCTCCTGATGGTGAGTGCCAGCAGCTCGTATTTGTCTCTGAGCCCCACAGAGATATCCAGCGTCTCTTTCAGCAAGGACCTGGTGTGGACCAGCATCCCCAGGAAGTCTTCGTTGAGTCTGCTTTCCTGCCGGCTATCCTGCTCCTGGCCCTGCTTGAACTTGCTTTCCAGCTCAGTGAGGGACTTGTCAGAGTTGGAGTAGGCATCCCCAATCTGGTGGGATTCTCGCCTCAGGTACTTGCCATAGCTCTCTTCCCCATCCAGGTCATAAGAGATGCTTTTGCTGATGCCCTCCAGGACTCGCCCAGCATCCTCCACCTGGCGGCCCAGCACCGTGAACTCCTCTCGAAGGGTGAGGCTCAGCAAGCTACTGGCTTGGCCCCCTTCCCCCTGGGAGCAGCGCCTGCGATCACTCACCCTGAAGAGCAGCTGGCACTTCTCCGGGTCATCATTCTCCTCGTAGTCTCCATCAGGCACGAAATAATGATGCAGGGTCCCATTAGACATTTCTGGGTACAGGGGACCATCAAAGTAGCCTCGACACAGGTGGCAGAAGAAACCCATCCAGATCAACTTCGGGATCACCATTCTGGATATTTAGGAGAAGAGTTTTAGTTCAGGAACAAGGAAAGGGGTCCACCCCGGGGAGTCAGTGGCTCCCAGTAACCGCGCCCTCCTTAGGCGCAGCCAGTTTGCTCTTCTCTAATCCTGGTTCCCGCGCAGGCTTCATGTGTCTCTGTGCAGCTTTGTTCAGCACCAGCTCCTCTCTGTCCCGGCTCCTCTTTCTTTTAGGCTGTTGGACCTCAGCCTTGGCTTTTCCAGCTAGATCGCTCTCTCCAATGTGGGGACCCACTGCTCTGCGGTCACCTTCGGAGTTCCCTCTGATTCCAGGGAGATGGAGCTAGTAGCTATGAGAAGCTGTTCATACACTCTGGTACTATTTCAACCCCTGGTCTGGGTGGGAATACAGAGTTTTCCCTTTGGCTAAAGATATCCTGAGGATTGCAAGGCTCTCAAATTACAGCTCATTTCGTCACTTGGAAGCCAGGGAACAAGTTTGGAAAGAAAGCACTCTCACCAGGTCCCTTATTAAAGGTACAGGGTATCTTTTTCAAGATTGGAAGAAGAGTCCCTGTACAATAGGACTTAGCTTGAATGGAGGTATAGAAGACGAATATAAACGTAAAATCCAACTGCTGCTAGTATTTTTAGGCAAAAAGGTGACTGCTTTAGAGAAATGGCAGTTCACACATTTAATTACCAGGTAAGATATATTTGTACTCACTTTCAAAACTTTATTTCTTTGAGCACAAAATTCGAAGTATTGGAAATAGCAACTTTGTTTGGAAACGGTTTAAAGTATATTTTTTAAAAACCAATACTTCAGAAACAACATGAATATAGAAAACAGATTTTCTATATTCATAGGGCATATTTGCTAATGCAAATAAAAAAATAGAAGTTTCAGTTTAATCAATAAAAGGACAATTGAGACTGCAGTGCAATCTACTAAACAAAGTCCCGCTGAGTCTTACCCAGTCTTTGATTTAGAGCTTGACTTCTGGGGCCTCCTTTCAGAACCCACAGAGCTGGCAAATTTATCCACAAGTGGAATGCTAAGCAAATTGTTACTGTCTTATAGTTAGATTGTAGTTTGGCCATTAGAATGAAGGATTTAAAATGAAGTTTGAAAAAGAAAAAAACAAAAACACCCCACTTTCTTGGAAGAAAATAGTTTTACTCCAATTAATTCATGAATACTGACATTACCACAGCTGGTTTAAAGAAGCAACCCAGACATTTGTCTAGTTGCCAGCTCTCCATAAACATATCTCCATAGCATCTCCGTAAACATATACATCCACACTCAGAACACTATGTTCCATGACCATTCCAAAGCAATGGAGCTTCTAAAAATGTTTATATAATGGGTTCATACTTCACACTTTTTCTATCAAGTGCTTTTCTCTTTTTAATACTTGCATAACTTGTCCATCACAGCCAATTTCTTCAACTTGTACTTCTTGATTGAGCTGTTCCATTTGTAAGTCTGCACTGCTTTACTACCACATGGAAACCCTTACAGAGCTTGCCTCTCTGATTCTGGACATGTTCCCCAAACTGTTTTGTATCATGAAAGCAAGGACCACCAGATTGATGCTGTGCCTGCCCAGTTCCTCTAGGCTTCTGGCAAGTGATGCCAAGGTTTGTGGTCTCAGCACTACCATGCCCACTAAAGGACCAAGGATGGGATAACCTAGTATGTGTCCCACAGGGGAGCTTGCAGTCACACTGGGCACAGTGGCTGCCATCTGAGTCATTAGCCCTAGTCTTAGGAACAGCAGCAGGTGAGTGAACTGTAGATGTTGGGGCTGCTGTTGCCAGCAGAGCTTCAGGTACTGACCTGGGTACAGTTCTTCTCTAAAGGTCCCTGATGGACGTCATGATCATGTGGAACATGTGATTTCAGCTTCCAGGTGGCATCCTAAGGGTCACCTCTGTGTCTAAAAATGTGAAACTGTGAAAAGGCTACCAGTTTCTTTAAAAACAAAAGCAAAATAAACACCTTTAATCCCAGCACTTTGGAGGCAGAGGCAGGTGGATCTCTGTGAGTTCAAGGCCAGCCTGGTCTACAGAGAGAGTTCCAGGACAGGCTCCAAAGCAATACAGAGAAACCCTGTTTTGAAAAACAAAATCAAAACCAACCAAACAAACAAACAAACAAAAATCAACAACATTTTCCCACCATGCCATTCTAGGTTTTGATTTATGAAATGATTGCTAAATGACCACTTGATAGGCCATTTATTTGTTCAAATTTTTACTATACATCTTGTGCTGTTTTTATTAATGAAAATATAACAATGAATAAAACTAGGAGCAAAGCAGTATTTTAATCTTGGAAGTACCGGGAGAATTAAAGTAAAATAAATAAACTTACATTGTCTATTGAATAATTTCAAAATTGCAGAGAAAAGAAAGAGGAAAGGGTAGAATAATGGAAATGGGATACTTCTATTTTCATAGCTATTGGCTATGTCTGCCTTGAATTGTAACTGAGCCACTCACACTGGGTGTCCACTTGACACCCAGTAGAGTCTCCCTTGACACCACAAGGGGCAGCTTTCATTGAGATGTATGCAGCTCTGCTGTTGACAGAGTCTTCATCACTCTCACTGTGACAGGCAATGCAAATTCCTAGACAATGAAAAGCCCAACTAAGTAACTGGTTATTTTTTAATGTAAACTCACACATGCTTTCTGAAGCATGTTCATCATGGCATCACATCTTAGTTTTCTCTAGACACTTGACATGAAAATATAGACCAAAGCAGCATTTCCTTAGTCTTTATGCCAACTAGAAGACCAAGGCTCATTTTCATTCTGTCCCAGCAGAAAGCTCCAACCTTCTCTAATTTAGAGACTGAGCCATTGGGCTCGAAAGACAGCGCCTCATTCCATTTCCCTGGGACATTCACAAATGACAGCAATGAATTTAAATCACCTATTTGGCCAAAGAAAAGACCAAGGATTTACTCAGATTCACTCCACTTCTTGCACAATCCACCCCCATCCCCGACTTACAAACCAATTCAAATATACAAAGTTGTATTAAGGACTCATTACCAGTTCCCTACTTACAGTATGTGGTTTTAATTAAACATATATACTAAACATACAATAAAATATTTCAGCCTATAACAATTTTGTTCTCTAGTCAAAGAGTCAGGCACATAGAGACATAGAGTTGTGGATAGAAGAGATGAGAGTCTTTGCTTTCTTAATGTAATGATTTCATCTACAAACACTGTACCTTAAACTAGTAAAGAACTATTTCTGTGCATGTAAATTTCATTCTTAGTAAACACAAAGGAAAACTCATTGACTTACATACATTTTTAGATTAAGTTTTCAGACAGACTTGCTCTAAAACCTAGATTTATTTTGTTGTCTTTTAGTCCCACTACATCAGTTTTATCCATTGCTGGCAGCACCATTCACTGCAGTATCTTTTTGAGTTATATGTTACTTTATTTGTATCTAATGGAAACAGCAGATGGGTTTTCTGTAGTTCAATACAAGTCTCTTACATCAGAATCAGTGCCCATAATTGGCCTCATTGGATTTATCCATAAATTAAGACTATGATAGTATGAATCTTGGAATAAGCCTTTTGGTTTAGGAAAAATAAGGGTTTGTGTGTGTGTGTGTGTGTGTGTGTGTGTGTGTGTGTGTGTGAGAGAGAGAGAGAGAGAGAGAGAGAGAGAGACAAACAGACAGAGAGAGAGAGAGACAGAGAGAGAGAGCTAAATGTATACCATATGAAGTACATGGCTGGGTAATTTTGGGTCCTGTTTAGAAAAGGGACATTGTGGAGATAGTCTCAAGAAAACTGTTTTTTATGAATGGTCTCCCTACACCATACCTCATTTTTGTGAAGCACATGTGGGAGATACTACTACCTTTTTCAATAGTGTGCTTAGAAGTGGTTACTATCCAGCTAATGGGGCACAGCTCCTATTATCTACACTTGCTGATTTTCATAGTGTAAACATATTGATAAAGAAAAAAAGCCTCATTATTGAATATAGAGCTGGCAAAATGAATGCATTAGTGTGTTATCACATAGCATTCCTCTCATTCAGATCAAAGTGGATGAGTTCAGGAGACTAGGGTAAGTGATGGGTTCAGTATATATGTCTCCTTTGTTATAGGTTTTAAATTGCTAGCTTAATTGGTTCAGATTTTTAAAATGGTTGTATTTAACAACTGGCTCGTAAAATTCCTGGGAACCTAACAATCAACTCTCAATAAGGATTGCAAGCCATTTCCAACAAGCTGTCTTCAGCACACCATGATCTTTTGAAGAAACACTTCATTTTTTTAAACCTCATAACAGTTTTTATTGCTTAATACTTAATATGTGCCAGATTCCATTCCAGGCTAGTCTGCTAGGGTCAGAGCTAAGGTGGCTTCTGGGAATTTTCCCAGGAGAAGTGAAGCCAGAGGTACAGAGTCTTCTAGTGTATAACCAAGGTATGTCATATGTTCATAGAGAAAACATTTGAGTCTAGACAGAAGACTGAAGACAAGTAGGAAAAGCAGACATCATCTAATTTAGGAGTATAGGAGGACTTTAGGAGTGGTCTCTGGAGTGACACAGGTAAGCAAATGAATCCTATTGTCCAATCCCAACTATTTATAAATGAAGTGTTAATCTAATTAATCTCAATGAAAAATGGGGAGTCAAATATTGGAAGACAGAAAAATGGAGCAGCCACCAGTTGCTTCCCACTTTTCCCCTTCCATATTCAAAAAGGCCAGATCCTCTCTATCCTGCGTTATCACTTCCTGCTTCCTTTCTGTACAGTCCTTCAGATCTCTGTGGTTAAATAGTGGCTAGCTCTGTACTCTGACTCCAAGGAAGCTTTATTTGTCAGAATACAAATAAAACATCACACAACATGTTCAGTTCCCAGCATACAGCATCAGCAAAATCAGCTCACCTGAAACTTACCTATACCTTTTCATTTTAGTGTACTTTAAAATCTGCTTTCTCTTGATCAGTTATGACTTTGGTAATGACAGCAGAAATTTAGGTTAATACTGTGAATGTTCCTTTTTCAAAGGCTTTCTGATCTCCCGCCTATCCTTGATCATAATAATAGTACAACTTTTATAGAAAAGAGGATCATATTCATCGAGTATGTATTAGTTATTATCCTGTTGCTATGGTAAAATATCCAATGAGAATAAACGGAATGTATGGAAGATTTATTTTTGTTCACAGTTCAAGAGTAAAGTTTATTATTGTGGCTACACTGTGGTGGTAAGTGATTGAGGCAGCTAGTCATAATGTATTTATAGTCAGTAAGGAGAGAGTGGAAGAGGGAAAGAGGGAAGGGAAAAGCATATGAGACTTTAAAGTCTGCCTGCATAGTGACACACTTCCTCAAGCAAGACCACACTTCCTAATACTGTCACTTCCTTTGGGGATGATTTTCTTTCAAACCACCACATTCCATTCTCTGGCTTCTAAAAGCTTGCAGCCATATTGTAGTACAAAAATGCATTCAGTCCAACTTCAAAAATCCTCAT